TGCCGGCAGCTCCTCGGCAGGGGTGGCGGCGTGGCAACGCGCGGTTTCCGCGCTGGGAGTGCGCAGTGGTGGCGCGGCGGGTGGCGGCGAGGCCGCGGTGGCATGATCGCCGCGACGGCGGTGGCGAGGGCCGCGGGCCGCGAGGGGGCGCGCTGACGCCGTCGGACCAGCGCGCGCCACGCTGCGCGGTAACATTCGAACGCGTGCCCCCTCTGCCTCCTTTTCCTCGCATTGCAACTCGTCCTGCCCATGATCCTTCTGCCCCTGCCTCCTTCTCCTCCCTCTGCCTCCTTCTCCCTCTGCCTCCTTCAGTGGTCCCATCTGACATTCCTCGTCATGGCCATTGTTGCCAGTAGACCCTGCTGACATTCATCCTCCTGGCCATGATTGCCAGGTGGTCCGGCCTGACATTCGTCGTCCTGCCCATGGTTGCCAGTGGACCATGTTGACATTCATCGCCCTCGCCATGGTTGTCAGATAGCCTTCCTGGCATTCATCGCCCTGCCCACGGTGGTCAGCCTGCCCAACGATAGAGAGGAAGCAGGCAGAAGGAGAAGGAGGAGGAGGAACAGTAGGAGGAGGAATGGGAGCAGGAGGAGGAGGAGGAGGAGGAGGAGGAGGAGGAGAGAAAGGAGGAGGAGGAGGAGCAGGAGGAGCAGGAGGAGGAAGAGGAGGAGGAGAAGGAGGAGTAGGATGATCATGTGGGGCGGAGGGAGGCGTTTGGACGAGATGGGGATGATGATGATGATGATGATGATGATGATGATGATGATGATGATGCTGCTGATGCTGATGCTGATGCTGATGCTGATGCTGATGCTGATGCTGATGCTGATGCTGATGATGATGCTGATGCTGATGCTGATGCTGATGCTGATGCTGATGCTGATGATGCTGCTGATGATGCTGATGACGATGATGCTGCTGATGATGATGGTGATGGTGATTGTGATGGTGATGGTGATGATGATGATGATGATGCTGATGCTGATGCTGATGCTGATATGATGATGATGCTGATGCTGATGCTGATGATGATGCTGATGCTGATGCTGATGCTGATGATGCTGATGATGATGATGCTTATGATGATGCTGATGCTGATGTTGATGATGCTGATGATGATGATGATGATGATGGTGGTGGTGGTGATGATGATGATGATGGTGATGCTGCTGCTGCTGATGATGATGATGATGATGATGACGATGATGATGAGGAGGAGGAGGAGGAGGAAGAGGAGGAGGAGGAGGAGGAGGAGGAGGATCGGGAGGAAGGGGGCGGAGGGAGGAGGAAAAGGAGGAGGAGGGGCTAGGGTAAACCCAGGATACATCAACGATATTGCGATACACCGTTTTGTCCCAACTTCCTTCCCAACCAGTCCCTGCAAGCATCTCTCTGCGCTGCGGGAAGGCAGTCCGCCGAAAGACGAACGCCCCGTAGGCCTGTCACTCGGGAGAGAGCCGCCCTGTCCGTCCGGTCCCTCACGACATCGTCGCCGCCCCGTCGTTGTCGTCGTCGTCGTCGTCGTTGTCGTCGTCGTCGTCGTCGTCGTCGTCGTCGTCGGTTCGCGGTTTGACGCTGCTGCGCAGCTTTTACGCTTGCCAACATGAGCCGTTTTGAAAAGGAGCCGCCCTCCATCCGCGCACAGCGGGCGGTTCGCGTCGCGTCAACCGGCGGCGACCCCGCCGCCGGCGTTCAAGGCTGAACGCCGCAGGTGGCCCAGAAACGGGCGATGCTGAACGATCTGACGTTTGGGAGACGGCCGATTGTTCGAGGTCGAGCGATCCCCGCGGGAACCAACGCAGAGGTCGACGCGACACGAACTCGCCGCAGCTGCCGTGCACTGTTCAAAATGTTTGGTTGCACGGTTTGCGGAGATCTACAGCGCGAGCCCCGTGTCGGCAAGGAGCCGCCGTCTATCCGTGTATGTCGTCGTCGTCGATTCGCACTCTTTCCGTATAGTCGTGCGGAGTTTGTAAGACGAACGTGCGCGGCCACCCTCCACCCGTGTAAGCGTTGGAAGTGTTTGAGTCGAATGCGTGCGGAGCGGGGGCGAGAGCCGCGATCGAGGTTCGAACGTCGACGTGAACCCGACAACGACGACGACGACGACGACGACGGCGACGACGACGATTCGCCTTCCATCAGTGTAAAACTTGGGAGCTCAGGCTTCAGGATTACGAGTGTTGATGGATATCCGGCGAAACGCCCAGACCACCTCTACCGACGCGTGTGCTGGCGCGACGAAGAGGGGTGACCGTTACCGTTACCGGCCGACCTTGCGAAGTTCGCCTCTCTAGAATCCGATTTCTCATATTAGCTTTTCTTGCGCATGCTCATGCAGGTTTTCGCGCCCTGGGGTGTTTTCCATGAGCTGCGCCTCGTCGAGAGGTGTCTGGGGATATTGGAATCGTCCTAACCAGCCGCCCAGAACCAGAGTTGTGGCCCGAAAGCCAGCAGGATGGACGGGGAGGGGGAGTGGGGGGAGGGAGGACGAGGAGGGGGAAGGAGGAGGCGGAGGAGGAGGAGGAGGAGGAGGAGGAGGAGGAGGAGGAGGAGGAGGAGGAGGAGGAGGAGGAGGAGGAGGAGGAGAGGAAGGAGGAGGAGGACTAGGAGGGGGAAGGAGGAGGTGGAGGAGGAGGAGGAGGAGAGGAGGGAGGAGGAGGAGGAGGAGGAGGAGGAGGAGGAGGAGGAGGAGGAGGACGAGGGTGAAGGAGGAGGAGGGAGGACAACATGATGATTAAGAAAGTACCGGGGGTCGTGTTCACGCGGCGGCGCCTGAGGTGACGATCAAAGAAACACACACCCCGCCTCAGAAACTATTATTCTTATCGTTCGGCTGGAGCAGCATGACGACGACGACGACGACGACGACGACGACGACGACGACGACGACGACGACGACGACGACGATGGAGGTGGCGGCGGCGAGTCCGACAGAACATATCAAATGGAGGTCTTGGGGGAGGGGAGAAAAAGTTCTGGGATCCCCAAGAGTTCGACCATTCAGCCTAGCCAGAACTTGTGCGCGCACGAAGCGCACGCGATGGTTATGTGTGTATGTGTAAATATATTTATATATATATATATATATATATATATATATATATATGTGCATATTTATGTGTATATATATATACGTCGACCGGCGTGACGACGGAGAAGACGCCGCCGCCCGCTCCGAGGGGAGTTGACCACCTGGCCCTTCACCTCCACGTCAGCAAGGCAGCGCCGCTTGCCGAAGGGCGACCAGAGTTTCATGCGCCGCTCGTGGGCGCGTCGCTGCCCCGCCAGCTGCTGTCGTAACGGCGCCGGCGTGGTGGGGCCAACCTGGGCCGGGGAGGGGGGGCCGGTTTGGGGCCACCTGGCCACGGCGGGCCTCCTGGAGCAGAAGATCAGCGCGCTGGGCGCCGTCGTGGGCCGCGCGGAACGCCGCGCCATCCACCAGCAGCACTCGCCCGGGGCGGACCTCGACGAACGCGGAGAGCCAGCCGTGGGCGCGGATGAGCCGCGCTGCGAAGTTGTAGCCCGGCGCCAAATGCAGCGAGCCATGCAGCGGAACACCATGGCCCTCGAGGCCTTGGCGGTCGGTTCCCGCCGCAGCCGCCTGTCCCGCATGCGGGCGCCGATCTGCAGGATGCCAGTGTGCAGGTCCAGCATGGTCGGCGGGTGAGCGGCGAACGAATCAAAAGCCACAGCCGCGGCGTAGGCGGAGATCAGTTCCCTGGTGCCGAACATTCGGAAGAGGGACGGCGGAATCGGCTTGCAGCCGCTGTCCAACCGCATCTGCCCACAGGGGTCGTCGTCGCCGTCGCGGTGGCCGAAGCGCACCAGCAGGACCCCGTGGTCGCTGAGCCCGCTGCCGACGAGCTCCTCAGGTGACTCGACGTCCTCAGCTTGTTGCCGCGTCAGCTTGAGGAGCCAGGCCGGGGATGCAGCGAAGACTTGGTCGATCGCCGAGAACGTCTTCTGCCCGCGGTGCAAGCGCGTCGGCGACCGTGCCACCAGCCCGACCTTGCGCCCGAACATGTCATTCCACTGTCGCTCATGGCGCCGCGGGGCGCGGCGGCCGTCGGCCTGGGGCTGCATGGCCAGCGAACCCCCCGAGTTTGTTTGAAGTCACCGACGACCACAAGAGTGCACGACGCAGGGGCACGAGAGGCCTCATCGATGTCCGCATTCAGCATCGTGCGGATGCGCTCCAACTGCGTGCTGGTGATGTTAAAGTTGTGGATGCTCCAGTGCACGAGGCAGCTGGAAGGGCCAAAATGGCCACCACCTGGAATCAAAGTTTTTGGTCCGCAAGACCCGTCCGCGCACTACCTCCGTCGCCTCGTACCTGCGCTCCTCGAAGTAGGGGAGGACGGCGAGTGCGCCGCCAGTCGCGCGGTCCAGTGAAAAAAAGAACCTTCGCAGTGCGCCTTCACACCAGACTAGCAGAGCCATTCCTGCGCTTCCAATGGCGATCCGTACGTCTCCTGCGTAGCGATCACACTGCGTTGCACAAGGAAGGGTTGCAGGAGCTCGCGCTTCTGGCGATGCTTATCTTCTCGATGGTGAAAGAATGCGTCCGCATTCCAAGAATGTGGCCGCCCACCGGTACTTGGACCGCCTATCGCCCCGCCTCACGCCCGAGCAGCTGGCTGACGTGGAGCTCCCGTCCCTGGGACGGGAGCATTGCCTGGGACTCCCAGGCAATGCTGCGCCGGGCGATCTCCCAGGCGCGAGCGTCGGCGCCTGGGCCCGACCGCGCGCCGCGCGCCGGCCAGGGCACGGAGGAGAGCGTCAACGTTCTGGCGCACGCGCTGCGGTGGATGGGGCTCGGGAGACCCGCGAGCGCTCGGTTCGCCCACGCCCTCGCCGCCCCCCTCCCCCCTAAAGGGGCGAGGGGGGCTGGCCAGGCTGGAGAAGTGCGCCCTGCTAGTGGCGCCCGTCCCTTGGCCCTGAAGCAGCGTAGCAATAAGGTATTGGCGAGCGCCGTGCACTTGGCGCTTGCCATGATCATCGCCCCCGCGATCTCCCCGATCCAGCGCGGCTTCGTGCGCGGGCTGAATTTCATGCATACTGCGTTGGATCTAGATACGTTTTCCGGTATAGCGTCGCTTGGCCCCGAGGCCCTGATGGCCCAGCATCTGCCTCTGGGTTTTGACTTTGCTCAGTCGTTCGCGGCCCTTTCCCAAAGGTGGCTCTGCATGTCGCTCAGGACCCTTGGGCCCCCGAGCGGCATCCTGGGCACCCTCGCGATGTTCAACTTCGATGTCCAGGTGTTTGAGGATTCGCACGCGGGGCTCGCCTTCCCGTTCATCGTGAATTCGAGCGTGCTGCAGGGCTGCCCGCTCAGCGGCGACCTGTGCGCGATGGGGGCCAAAATCTTCCCGATCGACCTAGCCGCGTCCTTCGAGGAGCGCAGGCTGGGCATCTCCGGGGCCTGCGCTGATGACCTTGGCGCCATTGCGTGTAGCCCCCATGACTGCCGGGCGCTGGTAAGGGTGCTGGGCCTCTGTCGCCGCCTGGCCGGCTTGGCACTTACGATGGCGAAATGCGCGTGCCGCTGGGGGGGGGCCGTTGGATGACGGCAGGCGCGCTGCCGCGTTGGCGTGCCTCGCTGCTGCCGACGCGGCTTGGGCGGCGATCGACGTCGTGGAGCACTTGCAATACCTCGGCATCATTCTCGGCGTCAGCGTGAGCCCAGAGACGCAACGGGCGCCGCAGCTCGCGGCGTGGCGCGAACGCGCCTGGGCGATCTCGAAGAAAAGCTCCTGCTTTTCCGCGGCGACGGCGATCCGTCGCCGGCGCGCCATCCCCGCGCTGGGCTACGGAGGCCGGATTTCCCCGCTGCCGTGGAACTTCACGCGTGACGAAGTGCATATCCACAGCCGCCTTGTCCACTCGCAATTGGCCTGCCAACGCGCTCGCGCGAGCGGACTGGCACGTCCTGGAGGACTTCGGCGCGCCCGCCCTGACCTCTGCCAATGCGTGCGTTGCCGCCGCGCGCCCGCGGGCGGTCTTGACCGCGATGGCGGGGTGGCAGGCCGGCTTGGCGCTGCCGCGCCGCCCGGCGAGGGCGCACCTGCCGACGGCCATCTCAGCGCGAGGGCTCTGCGCGGCGACGCGGCGCAGCGACGCGCCCCTGGCCCCCCACCTGCGAGCGGCCTCGGAGGGCCTGGGCGACTCGCCAAAGCTGTGCGCGGCGGCATGGCGGCGCTGCACCGCGCGCGGGAGCTCCTGCAGGCCCCCTCTGCGGCGCGGGATGGCGGCCCCCCGTCGGCGCCCGGCGGCAAGCCGCGCCTGCAGGGGGTGCTCTCGCGCACGCTCCGCACCGGCGCGTGCTGCAACGACCTGGCCGCGACGTTGACCTGGCGCGCGAGGCGCCGGCTTCCCTCGGTGGAGACCCCCGAGGCGCTCGACTGGGAGTCGCTGGCCGGTGACCTCCGCCGCGCGCCGCAGGCGTGGCGGATGGCGTTGCCGCGGACGTGGGCTAGGGCCTGGCCGACGGCGGCGCGCCTCCAGTCGCGCGGCCATCCGCGCATCTTCGGCTGCGCAGCAGGACTGGCTCCACGGGGCATTTCGATGGGCGCCCGCGCTTGCCCACGCGATCGCCCCGTCTGTGCGGGAGCGCTTGGCTCTAGACATTGGGGCCGCGGGGGCTGCGAAATGTGAGAGGGCCCGCGACGCCGTGTTGATATGCCATCTGTATCGAGTGGTCTCTCTCCGTCAGTCGTCTTCTCCCTCCTCGCCTCAGACTCTAGCCGATGCTGCTTTTGCCGCTCGCCAAGCCGCGGATCGGGCCATTGGCCGGCCCCGCTGGCCTCGATAGACGCAGCAGACCTTTGCGAGAACGGTGGCGTGTGTGTGTATATATGTATGTATGTATGTATATATATATATATATATATATATTGAAAGAGCGCGTTTGGCGGGCGCTTGGAGGGGGGCGGGAGGGTTTGGAACCGGACCCCCCCGAAGGGTTCGCGGCGGAGGGGGGGGGGGGGGGGGGCTCGAACCGCGCGTCGGACCAACCCCACACGACTGGGGCAATTCGCAACCGATTGGGGCAATTCTCAACCGGCCAAACAAGCAATTGGTACCACTCACAACCAGCTATTTCGGGCCTACGGTATAATTCTTTGTGTGCAGCATTTCAAGACGATCCAGCCATCAATTGAACGTCTCATGGGTGCACATTCATTCTGGGGGTCAACATGAGTGCCCTGGTTGGAACTGGTACCAGTTTACTTTTTGTGGTATGGGAGCTACGTTGCCAACAACAACTCATAACAACACATCTCACCTCATAACAACAACATACATCCAACACAACAACACACATTCACACCACATACCCACGCACCCCCCCACACAACAACGCATTTCGAAAGCCCGACGTATCATCCTCGTTGCCATCGGCAGTAAGTGCCCTTTGATGTTATTGCCTAGTCTCTCCTCCTCCTCCTGTTCTTCTTCCTTTACATCCTCATTTCCCTCGTGACGCATTCCTTGTCTTCCCCATGCGTTTCCCCTCGTGCTTCTCTCGTCCTCCTCCTCCTCCTCCTCCTCCTCCTCCTCCTCCTCTGCGTTTTCCTCCTCTGTGTTTGCCGCCTCATCCGCCTCCTCCTGCTCCTCTTCCTCTCCCTCCGCCTCCTCCTCCTCCTCCTCCTCCTCCTCCTCGTCCTCCTCCCCCTCCTCTTTTTCCTTTGGGCACGCTCGACCTCCTCCTCCTCCTCCTCCTCCTTCTCGTCGTCCTCCTTCTCCACATCATCCTCCGGCTGGGGTGGGGGTCTTCCGAACCCTCGAGGGCGCGAAACGTTTCCATCGGAAGCGTCGCCTTCTGAGCCAGCGGACCCCCCGCGCCAGAGAAACCGTCGGCACCCATGAGGAACCCATCGGGTTTCCCCATGAAGAATTCCCCATGTTGCTCGGGATCCTTGAAGGATCCTTCAAGGATGTCCAAACATCCTTTCGAAACTTCAGGAAGTCGGCTGAATCCTCAGGAGCCCTCAGGAATCGTATAGACTGCCTACAAGAATCTTTCAGGAATCCAAAGGAATCCTCAGGAATTCACGAGGGACCTGGGAAATCCGCAGGACACCGAACGAATCCGCAGGACCCCAAAAGGAATCCAACGAAACCCAATGCAATCTCAGGAACCTTCAGAAATCCTTGAGGCATCCTGCGTGAATCCTTCAGGGATCCACGCGTTTGGGGGGATTCCTCGGGGATCCTCAGGAACCCCAAGGACACCAAAAGTGACCACCAACCAGACCGCACCAACTCAACCCGAAGATCCGACTTTCGGGTTCGGGGGGGGGGTACGGATTCTATATGTGTTTTTCCATGTTCCCCGACCACCCCACACTGGAAATAGAGGACAGATCGGGGCCTTCGGGTTGGGTTTGGGTGGTTTGGTGGGTGATGAGAAGGAATCCTCAGGAACCCTTCGGAACCCAAGGACACCCGCAAGAAACCTTCACGGATCACGCAGAAATCCGACACGATTTTTTCAGGAATCTTGTCGGAAATTCCATTGAATCTTCCAGGTGCCCGAAGGAAACCCAGAGAACGTTGAAGAATCGTTGAACAATCCTTCATCAATTCTTCAAGAGTCTCCAAGTTGTCTTTGACATCCGTCTGACATTATGCCGGATTCCTCCAGCAGGAGCTTCTTTTTTATGCAGCGTCTAAGGAGCCTCGAAGGAAACCTGAGGCAACCTTTGAGGAGCCTCTAAGAACCCTCTAAGGAAATGTCTGAGGAGCTTCGGAGGAGCCTCCATGGAGTTCCTCAGGCATCTAAGGAGCCTCTAAAATGCCTCTATAAGGAGCTGATGAGGAGCCCCTTAAGGAGCCTTTAAAAGGAGTCCCTTTGGGAGCCTCTGAGGAGCATCTAAGGACCCCTAAGGACCCTCTAAGGAGCCTTTTTAAGGAGCCTCCTAGGAGCTTTTAGGGACCTTCTGAAGAGCTTCTAGGGAAGCTTCTAAGGAGCCTCTATGGAGCCTCGAAGGAAACATCCAAGGAACCTGTAAGGCGCTTCGCAGCAAACTTTTTTTTCTGAGGATCAGTTAAGACAACCTCTGAGGAAACCTCGAAGGACCTTCCAAGAAAGTTGCTAAGGAGCCTCGAGGGGCTTCAGAGCTTCTCTGGATGCCTCCAAGGAGCTGACGGGGAGTCTCCAAGGAGCTTGTAAGGAAACCTTTTTTACGGAACGCTTTAAGGAACGTTTTAAGGAGCTTGTAAGGAAACCTTTAAGGAACTTTTGTGGAGCCCCTAAGGAGCCGATAAGAACCAAGGCAACCTGTTAGGAACCTCTAAGGAAACGCCTAAGGAGCCTCTAAGAAATCTCCATGGAGGCAAGATGCCTCCATGGAAGCACTAAGGAAACCCCTAAGGAGCCTCCAAGGAAACCTTTAAGGAACTTCTAAAGAACCTCCATGGAGCCTCCAAGGAAACCTTTAAGGAGCCTCTAAGGAGCCTCGGAGGAAACCTCCATAAGGAGCCTCGAAGAAACCTCCAATTAAACAAGTGTTTTAATGTGTCCCAGTTGGTTAGGGGGGGGGTCGGGTAAGAGGGGATTCGGACAGGGGGGGAGGAGTGGAGAGGGGAGTCCCCCTGGTTGTGTTCGACGGCGCCGAATGTTCGGGGGGGGGGGGGTGGGCGCCGAACGTTCCCAAGGCAAACGCCCGTGAAACCCGCTCCCTCAAAGGTTCCTGCCCCGTCTCGCTCCGCTATTCCAGTTTCTGCTCCCCCACCCTCCTCCTGCGACGACGGCGGCGGCGACGACGATGACGACGAAAACGACTTCGACGTCGACCGCACACTCCCGCGCCAGGGTGGCGGCGCCTCCCCTGGAGTGTCGCAGCCCAGCAGCAAGCCCAGCAGCAGCCCGGCGGCCCGGGCTGCTCTCGCCGCGGCGGCGGGCTCCCGGGGCGCCTCCGCCGCGGCGGCGCAGCAACAGCAGGAGCACCGGGAGGGGGGCGACTCGGGAATTGATCCAGATCTGCCGCCTGCGAATCCGATCTTCCAGGACCGCGGGGGGCGATGGATGTGGAGGCATTTGGGCCCCAGGCCCAACATTGAACCATATCCACTGCCACCTGGGGTCCCAGGAGGTTGGTTCCTCAGTCGGTGGACATGGACAAATCCCCGCCTCGCAGGGGTGGGAGGGGAGTTCGAGGTTTTCGAGCCTCGAAGTGCTTTCCAGCGGCTGCGTCTCGGCGAGCGCGTTCCTGGAGCGCCCCTAGATCGTTTGGAGAGGAGGGGGGGAGTGAGGAGGAGGGAGGAGGGCTGAAAGAGTGATGGAAGACGGCCTCCTCCGACCTCAGGCCCCCCAGGCTGCAACGACCCCGGTCACCGCGAAGCCTTCCGGGGCCGGGACAGGGAGAGGCATGGGGGGCAGGGAAGGAGAGGCATGGGGGGCACGGAGGTTGGGACGGGAGGCAGGAGGGGGAAGGAGAGGCATAGGGGGCAGGGAGATTGGAAGGGTAGGCATGAGGGGCATCGAGGGGAGAGGGAAGGAGAGGCATGGGAGGCAGGGAGGTTGGGAGGGGAGGGGGGGAGGGGAAGGAGGGGAGGGGAACCCTTGCTCCCCCCCCTCCGACCCCTTTTCGGGTTCGGGTTCGGGGACCGGCCCACAGGTGCTGCAGCCGGCGTGGAGCCGGGATGGCAGGGGCGCCACGCAGGAGATCGGCGTGTCCCACCATGCGCCGACGTCCGCGAACTACACGTAGGGCCCCATCCCACCCACGCCATCGTCGGGTCGGACGACAAGGGGGCGGAAAGAGGGAACAGGGAAAGGGCAGGAGATCTGCTGCGTGCAGCTGGTGTCAGCCTCGCCGTCAGGCCCGCTCGTCCAATTATTGACGCCTCCGGCGCCATGGGGTGCTGGGCAAATCAGCTGCCTGAGCCGATTCGCTCACCCCTTCCTGTTCACTAACCCCCTGTCGTCTGACACGACATCCGCCCGCTGCAGACGCCTTGCTGCGGATCTGCGGGCAGGGGGGGGGGGGACAGGCAGGAGGCAGATGTCGAAGGGTGGCCAGTCAAGACAAGGGCGGGCCTCTCTTGCGTTTTTCATATGTTTCCAAACCATCCTGTGGTGTTGGGTCTTCGTTTTGAAGAGACAGCGCCCCGCGTCACTCCTCCTACTCCTCCTCCTCCCGCTGCCCCCTCCCACCTCCTCCCCCTCCTTGCCTCTGCTCTCCGCATGTCCATCACTTCGGCACACCCCTCGCACCTTTTCGTGGCCCCACAGGGAGCTCCACCGAAGGCTCCAGTGGCAGGGTCCGCATGCGGGAACGCCACCCAGGACAGCGCTTCGTGGCCCCACAGGGAGCTCCACCGAAGGCTCCAGTGGCAGGGTCCGCGTGCGGGAACGCCACGCATTTCGGCACACCCTTCACACGGTTCATGGCTCTAGTGGCAGGGTCCGCATGCGGGAACGACGCCCAGGACAGCGCTTCGTGGCCCCATAGGGAGCTCACGCCCCTCACACGGTTCGTGACTTCGTGGCCCCACAGGGAGCTCCACCGAAGGCTCCAGTGGAAGGGTCCGCATGTGGGAACGCCACCCAGGACAGCGCTTCGTGGCCCCACAGGGAGCTCCACCGAAGGCTCCAGTGGCAGGGTCCGCATGCGGGAACGCCACTCATTTCGGCACGCCCCTCACACGGTTCGTGGCGCCACAGGAACCTCCACCGAAGGCTCCAGTGGCAGGGTCCGCATGCGGGAACGCCACCCAGGACAGCGCTTTGTGGCCCCACAGGGAGCTCCACCGAAGGCTCCAGTGGCAGGGTCCGCGTGCGAGAACGCCACCCAGGACAGCGTTTCGTGGCCCCATAGGGAGCTCCACCGAAGGCGTCAGTGGCGCAGTTCGCATGCGCCTCCCCCACCCTTGACTCACACGTTTCGTGGCCCTGCGCAGTTCGCATGCGTCTCCCACACACAAGACAGCGTTTCGTGGCCCAATCGGGAACCCACCGAAGGCCCCAGTGGTGGTGTCCACATGCGTCCGCGCCACCGATTTCGGCGCACGCCTTACCCGCAATGCGGTACTCGCAACTGCATATGGTTGGGTCATTCGTCAGGCTAATTTCTGCCTCTTGGATGCCTCTCGCCGCCATGGCTGAAGACGCTCCGGAAAATCGATCAGGATGAACCTCAGGAAGGGTGCGGGGATTGATTTTGATTGGATTTGGGCAGAGTGGGGGAGCCGCCGTTGCTTCAGCTGGCCCTAGAGGGAGGGAAGGGGAGGGCAGGGGGAGGGGCATCTCCCTCCTCTAGGCAGGGGGCGGGTGGAGGGGGCTAGGCAGGGGGCGGGTGGAGGGGGCAGAAGGGGAGGAGGGATGAAGGGAAGGTCCTCCCGCTCCTTCTCTCTTCCTCCTCCTCTGACGGGCGCCGCGCCACCCTCCACCCCTCTCGTTTTCCCAGTCTCGCCCAACAGAGGGAGGGGCGGGGGGGGGGCGGGATGAGAGGAAGGGAGAGGGAGAAGGATGGCAGGAAGAGAGGAAGGGAGGGGCAAACGGAGGGGTGGAGGGTAGTCGGTCGCCGGCGACTACGAGGACGAACAAATTCGAGGATCGAGGATCGAGGTGTTGGGCCTCTTCAGGACTCATCGAGCCCCGTCGTGGCCACGGCCTCTCCTGACCCAGGCCGGGGGGCCAGTGTCTTCGACGACCCTGTCCTGTTGAGTCACTGGCCCCGGGATCTCTCGACCCCTTCTCGGAGACTGGTTTGGCATCACGGACCGTCGCTCGGACGGCACCTGGCCCAGCGACGCCCATTGCGGACGCCGAACAATGTCGTACACATCTGGCGCGATGTTTCCCGACCGACCTGCGTTGGGTTTCATTCTGGATCCAGTATCGCTGTCGCGACCTTTTTTGCTTCCTTATCGCGGTCGCGACCTTCTTTGCTTCCTTCCCGCCTCCCTCCTCCTCTCCTCCGTCCCGCTCTTCTCTCGTGCCTTCTACCTGGCATGCACCTGCCTGCCAGCCTGCCTCTTACCTCGCCATCATATGTTACCCAGCCATCCCTGGGAGGCTGCGAACTGCGAATCTGTCACTACTTTCGAAGGCTGCTGGCGGGGGAGCAGCAGAGTGGGGCCTCGCCGCAGACTCAGATTAGACCTCGCCAATCCTTGTGGGCTACGTTCTGCGAAACTGCTGCCCCCTTCGGCTACTGGGGGGTCCAGCGGAGTGACGTCTTACGCAGACTCAGACTAGACCTCATCACCATCGTGGGGCTGCGATCTGCGAAAACGTTGCGATATTCGAGAACTGCTGAGGGGGCCAGCGGACTGACGTCTTACACATAGTCAGATTAGAACTCGCCCTCCCTGGGGTGTGATCTGCAAAACTTTCACCACTTTCGAGGGCTGCTTGGGGGTCCAGCGGAGTGACGTCTTACGCAGACTTAGATAAGACCTTGTCACCCCTGTGGGGGGCTGTGATCTGCGAGACTCTTGCCACTTTCGAGGGCTGCAGGGGGTTCAGCGGAGTGCCGTCTTACACAGAGTCAGATTCGACCTCGCCATCCGTTTGGGGGGGGGGGGGGGGGGGGGGGGGGGCGATCTGCGAAGCTGACGTCACTTTTGAGGGCGTCTGATGGGTCCAGCACGGTGACGTCTTATGCAGATTCATGTTCGACTTCGCCATCCCGGGGGGGTGCGAGCTGCGAACATGTCGCCACTTCTGAGGGCTTCTGAGGGGGTCCAGCGGACTGACGTCTCACGCAGAGTCAGCTTGGACCTCGCCATCCAGGTGGGGTGATCTGCGAAACCGTCGCCACTTTCGTGCTCTGCGGAGTGACGTCTTACGCAAACTCAGGCTAGACCTCGCCACCTCTGTGGGGCTGTAGGGCTGCGATCTGCGAACATGTCGTCATTTTCAAGGGCTGCTGAAGGGGCCAGCAGACTGACGTCTTACACGGATCCAGATTCGACCTCGCCATCCCTTGGTGGTGGTGCGATCTGCTAAATTGTTGCCACCTTCGAGGGCTGCTTCGGGGTCCAGCAGAGTGACGTCTTACGCAGAGTCAGGCTGGACCTCGCCACCCCTGCGGGGCTGCGATCTGGAACATGTCGCCACTTTTTGAGGGCTGCTGGGGGGTCACGGAGCGACGTCTTACGCAGACTTTGGTTCGATTTCGCCATCCTTTGGGGTGCTGCGGTCTGCAGACTCTCGCGACTTACGACGGCTGCTGGGGGGTTAAGCGGAATGTGGTCCCACGCGGATTGAGACTAGACCTCGTCATCCGTGGTGGGCCCGATCACACTATCGACGCCGATGGCGCGGCGGGCCTTGTCTTCATGGAGCCACAGACCTGGAGCCTGCTCGATATCCGCAAGCATAAGGTCACATGCGCAAGCCTGGTCATCTCCCACGCTTAGGTCCTGACGTCCAATGCCTGCCAGGGCCGCACCATGCCCCACGGAGTCCATGTCGACTCCGGGTGCAAGCACGCGTGGGGCCTGGACGCACCCTGGCTGCAACTCTATATGATGCTGTCCAGGGCGACGACGGATGATACGCGACCCTGGCCTTGAGTCCCTCTTCCCGCGGCCCGTCCGCAGACTTGCCGGCGCGCCTGTGAGCTCTCAGCTCCCGCAGCGAGAGGTGCAGGGTGGAAGCCGGGAAATTCGGCGGGCGAGCTGGGCCTCGATCTTGCACTACCGTTCGTCGTGCCCATATTGGCCGAGCCTTCTTGCCATTTGATGCAAATGTGTTTGGTACGTCACAGGGTAATTTCGCGCCCGCGGAGTCCCAGGTCCTCCTTCCTCGAAACCTGGCTCCTTCACCCGGGGGGCCGTGGGAGGAGAACGAGGTGGATGGGAGGGGCGAGAGGGCGGAGAACAACGATGACGAGTAGGAGGAGGAGGATCCCAAGGGAGAGGACGAGGAGGAGGATAGGGGAAAAGGGGGGCCAACCTGATGTTCGGTTTTCGCTTGGTCTCCGCGTGCTTCTCCCGAGCTGTGGCCTTCGAGGCATGTTGCCCACCGCTGTCGGGGCCCATACTGCTGGTTGTTTCCCAGTCAGTGCAAAGGGGGACCTTGCCAAGCATGGTTCAGCTGAGTCCAGGGGGGTCAAAGTGCCGATGCCGATTGCCCCCCCTGCCCTTCATCGTTTTTGCTCTTTTGTGTCGTTTGGGTGGCCCTCGTTGCCGCGGGTGGGTTCGCTTCGGGATCCTGGTCCGAACGGGCTCTTCGAGAGTTTTGGGGAGCAGCGGTGTCGGTACCAGCTTGTTCCCCCTGTTGACGCTTCCCCCCGCCAGCTGCCTCAATTTGTACAGAGAGGGACTTCGCCTTTGCACTTGCAGCGTTCTATGCCCACGCCCCGCTATCGTGCCTCCTTCTTCCTCGTCCCCAACCGCGGCGATAGACGCGCATGGCAGTTGTATGTTTGTAGCCGCACTGATACCTTGACCTTTATTCGAGCTCGCGATCCACTCAGCGCTTCACTCAGCATCAACATCGCCAGCAGTAGCAGCAACTCCATCACCATTTCGCCGTCGTCATCCCTTCATCTGTTCCTCATGCTCCGCCTCTTCGCCACCTTCCCTCCTGAGGCTAACGTTGGCGGCCTTTTGTTCCGTCGTCTCTCCCTTTTAGTCTTACTCAGGTGTAGACTCTCCGTGCTCATCCTGTTTCCTTATGCTTAGATCCTTCAAGCAAGACCCTCGTGGAAAATGGGGAGGGGCCCTTAACGCATGTTCAGAGGAGGCAGTTGCCCTCTGCACCGAAAGGCTTCAGAAGTGCCTGGAAGCCCCTCGAGTCACCTGGAATCACCTGGAGGGCCAGAAGCGGCGTCGAACGCTCAAACATTCTTAATCGTGATACTCGAAACTCTATCCTCTGCCTTTTCCAGAGTCCGCTCGCGCCCGAGAGGTACGCTCAGCTCGGCTGGACGTGTTGCGGCCGCGGCAGTCCAGCGATGTATAGGTATATCGTACGAAGTTTCGGGTGCGTTGTTTGCTTATGTACGTTGTTTGTTATGGCATTGTGGTTGTTATCTGCTTCTAGGGGTTTCCATACCGACAGTGGTGATATAGGATGAGGAAGAGAATGTGTAAGGATCTTCCTCCGTCAATTTTTTCTTTTCCTGCTGATGCTTCTCCCTCTCCCTCCCACTCCAACGTCATCGGCTGGATTGCAGAGTCTCAAGATCGGAGCCTTAAGAGGGACAGGACGGCCCCGCCGAACCTTGTGGAGGCCCCCCCCCAACGCAACGATCGAGCAAAAGCACAGCAGCCACAACCAAGATCATGCTCAAATCAGTCAGTTCTGTTGGTCGCCACGGCGACGAAGGATCCCACTGCCCCAAGACCTCCTCCTCCACTGGGGAGGTTCTGTCTTTGCCTGCCGCCGGGCCTGGTCCGGTCTGGCAGTGAGGCGGGCAGGGCCCAGCTCGCGCGGCCACACCGTGCCAAGCTGGGTGGGGCCTGGAATCGCGCCGCCTTGCCGGGCCCATCGGAGAACGCTTTCGTGCGGAGAAGTGGGCGGACGCCAGCGGGCGGTCGGGTTGGATCGGGCGGACCCTGACAGTTCCGCTGTGGGGTGTTTTGGTCGGTTCGGGCGGACCTTTACCCTGGCGGCTGTGCAGGAGGTACAGGATCTTGGGGGCACAATGACTTGGGACCTGTTGGTGGAGAATCCTCCAAGCAATAAGCAATCGGGTAAGTGAGGTGCGGATGCCGTGAGACACTCAATATCGTGGTGAAGCCAAGCGAGTTTTTACACACTCACGCCAGACTTGTGATGTCCTCTCATGCGGAAGCCAGTGTTCTGTCATTCCCCGTCGTCAGGGCCACGACCGAGGCCCATCGAGTTGGTCTATGGCTGTGAAGTGCTCGTTCCACCGAAGAGACAGCTAAAAAAAAAATCCTCGTGGCAAACACCGCCTGGCCACCGCCCCATCGCAGCATCAATTCCACACATGACAGATCTACAGACCTCCACCAAACAGGCTCGGTAGAGCCATGTTGGGGTCGAGTGGGAAGCATCTCCAAGATGCAACAACGCCACGTGGCCGCAACGTTTCGTGGTTGTTGCATTTCTTCTTTGGGGGTTCTCGGCGGATCATTGGCGGCGTCTTAGGGGTCCCTTGGGGGCCTCTCGAAGGCCTCTTGCGAAGGCCTTGCGGCTGGTGCCGCCGACCCTGAAGAGGGGCGACCACGATGACGACGACGACGACGGTGGCGACCTCGGCGACGACAACGCTGAAGCTATGGAGCCCGTCATGGAGCCCTGTTGGGAGCATCTTGGGCACTGATCGGCGGCCTCTGGGGAAACTTTGTGGCAAGCTCCCGTGGTCACTTGGAGCCGCCTCGGAGCGGATCCGAGGCCTCCTGGAGGCATGCCGGAAAATACGCAGCTCCCCGCACCAGCAGATAAGAGTGAGGAGGGGGCGCGGGGGGGGTCCAGGAGGCGGAGGAGGGGGAGTGTCTCCCTGTCCACAGGAGGAACAGTGAGGAGGTTTTTGTTGCCCCCCATTTCCACAAGGGCTCATTGGGCGCTTCTGGGGGGCTTCGTGGAGGCCTCTTGGGGAAATTTTCCAGAAGCTTCGCGTACTCCCAAAGCATCCGTAGCCGGGGGCAGGGGTAGTCTGGCTCAAGCCCCTGGCTCAAGCTCAGCGGCTGGCCGGCCGTGGCCGGGGGCCTGCCCTTCGGTCCTCGGCCTCCCCGCCCGCGGGGGCGCGCGAGGGGTTCGCCCCCCTCCGCGCCCCCGTTCGCTCGGCCATGGAATCGCGCTCGGCGCGGCGGCGGCGGCAGCGGCACGCCGCCGCCTGCCGCGCCGCCGCCGCAGCCGGCCCGGCCGGCCTGCGGCCGCCGCGACCCGGCGTGGCCCCTGGCCTCTGCGTGGCCGACGGCGCCGCCGCTTCGGCTGTCGCCGCCGCTGCGGCCGCCGCGGCTGTGGCGGCGGCCGGCCGCGGCGAAACCGCCGCGGCCGCCGGCGCTGTGGCGCGCGCCGCCGCTCTGGGGCCTGCCGCGGCGGCTGCGGCCGCCGCGGGCGCGGCGGCCGCCGCCGTGGCCGCTGCGGCCGCTGGTGCCGCCGCTCCCCCTGCTGCTGGTGTCGCGGCCGCCGCTGCCGCCGCGGCCGCCTCGGGCGGGCCGCTGGCGGCGGCCGCCGCCGCTGGCCTCATTGGACATGAGGCTGCCGCCCATCATTATCTCCTACGTCATCCTGAACAGCTGGTGCGAGAAGGGCAGGCGTTGGCAGTGGCAGGTGGCCGTGGCGCTGGTGAACGAGATCCTGGTCGTGAAGCTGGAGCCCAGCATCATCACGCACGGCACTGTGAGCAGCGCGTGCGAGATGAGCAGGCGTTGGCAGCGGCAGCAGGTGGTGGCCCTGCTAGTCGAGGCCCCGGTCGTGAAGCTGGAGCCCACGTTCATGAATTCTGGCACGGTGAACGGCGCGTGCGAGAAGAGCAGGCGTGGGCAGCGGCAGCAGGCAGTGCCGCTGCTGGGCGAGATGGTGGCCGCGAAGCTGGAGCCCACCATCTTCACCAACGGCACTGTGAAGAGCGCGCGCGAGAAGAGCAGGCGGCAGCAGCGGCTGCAGGTTGCGGCGCTGCTGGGCGAGATTGTGGCAGCGAAGCTGGAGCCCAACATCTTCACATACGGCACTGTGGAGAGCGCGTGCGTGAAGAGCAGGCGTCAGCAGTGGCAGCAGGATGCGGCGCTGCTGGGCGAGATTGTGGCCGTGAAGCTGGAGCCCAACATCATCACCTACGTCACTGTGAACAGCGCGTGCGAGAAGAGCAGTCGTCGGCAGTGGTTGCAGACTGTGGCGCTGCTGAGCGAGATGGCGCTCCTGCAGCTGAAGCCCAACATCATCACCTACCACATCCAGAACAGCTGGTGCGAGAAGGGCGGGCGTTGGCAGTGACAGCAGGCAATGGCGTTGCTGGGCGAGATGGAGGACGTGCAGCTGGAGCCCAACATCATCACCAACGGCACTGTGGAGAGCGCTTGCGAGAAGAACAGGTTCCAGCTGTGGCAGCAGGTGGTGGCGCTGCTGGGGGAGATTGCGGCCGTGAAGCTGGAGCCCAACATCAACGCGCACGTCGCTGTGAACGGCGCGTGCGAGAAGAGCAGACGTCGGCAGTGGTTGCAGACTGTGGCGCTGCTGAGCGTGATAGCGAACGTGCAGCTGGAGCCCAACATCATCACCTACGTCACTGTGAACAGCGCGTGCGAGAAGAGCAGTCGTCGGCAGTGGTTGCAGACAGTGGCGCTGCTGAGCGAGATGGCGCTCCTGCAGCTGAAACCCAACATCATCAACTACCGCATCCAGAACAGCTGGCGCGAGAAGGGCGGGCGTTGGCAGCGACAGCAGGCAATGGCTTTGCTGAGCGAGATGGAGGACGTGCAGCTGGAGCCCAACATCATCGCCGACGGCACTGTGGAGAGCGCTTGCGAGAAGAACAGGTTCCAGCTGTGGCAGCAGGTGGTGGCGCTGCTGGGAGAGATTGTGGCCGTGAAGCTGGAGCCCAACATCAACGCGCACGTCACTGTGAACGGCGCGTGCGAGAAGAGCAGTCGTCGGCAGTGGTTGCAGACTTTGGCACTGCTGAGCGTGATGGCGAACGTGCAGCTGGAGCCCAACATCATCACCTACTGCATCCTCAGGCCTTCAGGAGGCGCCGTCACCTCGACGACTACGCCGACGACGACTACGACCGCGACCACCACGACGCCGACGCCGCCGACGACGACCTCCACGGACGCCGTCGCCCCGACGACGACGACGGCGACGACGACGACGACGACCACGACCACGACCACGAGCACGAGCACGACCACGACGACGATAAGGGGGTTGGAAGAGGAAATTCTTGACAGTCGCAGACGGGGCGAGCTTTCAGCTCGGGGTTCACAGGCGGGACGAGCCTTCAGCTCGAGTCTCCAAGGCGTATCTCACAGCTTCAGAAGGGACGAGCCTTCAGCTCGGGAACCAGAGACGATGCCCATTGATGCCGAGAGCGCCGCAGAGACTGCGGCCATGAGTGACGGCGGCATTCTCGAAGATCGGCCCAGGAGCTTGTCCAACGAGGGTGGATGGCCTGTGATTGAGGCTGCCCAGTGGGGTGGCAGCGGTGACGATGGGTGGGTGGGCCGAACGCAGTCCGCCCACGTCCCCGATCCACATCCCACTGGCTCACGCCCACACTCCGCCGACCACCCTCCCTTGGACGCGTCAAGACAGAGAGGAGCAGCCTTCAGCTGCGAGGGGGTCGATCCCTTGACCGTGGAGGCCTCCGTCCTGGTCGCGCAACCGACCCCTCCAGCTGACCTGAGCCAACGTCAAAACGGCACCCGCCTTCCGCCCGCCGCCCCCCCCCAGGCGCGACCAGGTTGCGCGCGCAGAAGACGGGCCTTCAGCCTGGGGGGCGCCGTGCGAAGCAGCGAGAGTGGAGGAGCCTGTAGCCCGGGAGTCTTTAAATGCACAGATGGACGTCGACGGCGGCACGGCTGCCATCCAGCTCCCTG